CCATTTTTGTAGCCAAACTCTTTGCTCTGAAGTGAAGCCAATCGAATTGGTTAGCACTGATTCAGAGCAGTGCATTGATTAGCATTGGGTGTTTTCCAACAACGTACACAGATGACACAGTGTAACACTGTGTCGTACACAAAAGTTCAGCCAAAAAGAACAGACCTAAAGTGTTCCAACTATGACACAGTGGGTGCTTTCCAGCAAGGACACAATCAAACACAGTGTAACACAGTGAATCGTTTCATCCTTGTTTAATATAAGCAAACAACAAGGACGTATGATTCACCGTGTTACACTGTGTCTGACTGTGTCCCTTGCTGGAAAGCACCCATTGTTACACTGCTCGACACTGTAAAAAGTTAAGTACGAGCGTGTAGAGTATGTCAGTATTACCAACTTTTCAAGAAATTTTATACTTAATGTGTGGCAACATGTGGCGTGTGGAAATTATGGGATTCATTTCTAGCATGAATATAACCTAATTATACCGGTTGTACGTATAGTATAATAGAAGAGAAAAAGGATAATTAATTATAAATTTATAAGGTAATTATTCAGAATACGGTCCTCACCTCCGATTTCGATGAAATTAGGCTCATTCGACGCGTTTTTGCACAAAATGAAAGAATCTGTAAGAAAAAACGTTGGGACGGCCCCGCGAACCGAGATATTAAGCGTTAAAGTTAACGACTATAGAGGTTAGGAAATCTGTCACGGCCACATTACCGCTATGTCTTCATGCTTTTATATCTCATGTGCATGCGTTTTGTCAATATTAAAAAGTTAATATAGATGACTAACAAGTAAAATAGAGAAATCAAACCCACTCTGGCGATTCTCTCAGAAACTAAATCTAGAGTTCTGAGCGTTCCAACAAGACTTTACACAGTGGAACACGGTGGGGGCTTTCCAGCAAGGACACAATCAAACACAGTGTAACACAGTGAATCGTTTCATCCTTGTTTAACGTAAGCAAACAACAAGGACGTATGATTCACTGTGTTACACTGTGTCTGACTGTGTCCCTTGCTGGAAAGCACCCAGTGTAACGTCTTCTTCTTCTTCTTCTTTATTTAATTGGCCCGGGCCCTCGACAACGAGGCGAACTTGGCCATTCTTACTAAGCACAGTTAAAGCCGGAATCGCTTTTCAAAAAATTAATGAAATGATGCAATACCCGAAGCAGCGCAGACGAGCGTCCGTCCTACTCGAGCAAGCAAACAACGATGATTACAGTGTAACGTCTCTGTGTCCTAGCTGGAAAACAGCCATTGATTCGGGGCAGTGAGAGAGTCAAGTTACTAGGAGCACTAGATCTGAATCAAGGCAAGTAAAACCGCACTCGGATCGCATACACCACACCGTTTCGGCACTAGTGCAAAAGTTACTAGCCACTGGCACCGAGCAACATCGAGTGAGTGCACATCAATCGAATTCGCCATTAGATACGGATCGCGCACGCGCAGTCCAGTCTCTATGGGTACGTATCCACTGAGCACGTCACGCGTCGTGTCGTCGAAGGAGAGTGTATTTATATAATCTTATCTCTTTCTCTCTTTCATGACGCGATCCGTGACGTGCTCAGTGGATACGTACCATGGCTGTGTTCCAAAATTGTTTGTCAGCGCTGCAAGCACGTCGTCATAAGTGCATGCTACCAATAGTGTTCCAATTTCATAAGCATGCTTTTCATGCAAACGCAGCTTTCATTTTGGAACGATATTTTCAGTGCTGTCAGCATATAGCGACGTCAGCGAAAAGAAACAAGTAAC